GGGGGGGGGGGGGGGGGGGGGGGGGGGGGGGGGGGGGATTACGTGGGTGAGAGATGCATTTAACTTACACAGGAAAGAAACAAGGACAGAAATGAAAAAAATATCTACAGCTCAAAATCGCATAACAGCACCAATTCCATGTATGTACCACATGTTTTCACAAAGATGACTTGTTTGCCGCCGCGATTAGACAGCGAATGGGCTGCATTTGCCACACAAATATAGAACGACAGCAGCACGCAAATCCATTCTCATGTAATTAATGACTTGGTAATGGATTTCAAACAGGAACTTAACGAGAGCTACCAGCCAGCCAAAGACTGATCCTGCCTTGGCAAAGCCTTAAGGCTATTTATTTAGAGTCACTGTGTTTCATCAGCGGTGCCAACACGGCACAGCGGCACTACTTTCTGTCAACAACAAAGTACTATATTAATGCTATTTATATCATTATGTTATTTAAAGGGTCTAAATGCCTTAAAGTACACACTGTAGTAATGAAGGCTGAGGCAAAGCTATTTATTACCTGTTATTATCTGATCAGTTAAACCACTGCATGGAGGCTAACATATAGGTGATATGGTGCACTGTCTTAGCAGCTGTTAAAAGCATGGCAGCTGCATTCTGCAAACAGGAGACAGTTTGCTGGGTCATGCCAGAGTGATGACAGCAGAGCTGCTCCAGGTTTGCAGCAGATAAGGAACATTTGATTCTGGACGTGTTGCAAACTGGAATGAATAACTGTAATAATGCCCTTTCACCTGACCATCAACAACGAATTATAAATTAAAAAGAACGCCATCATTACAAATATGTCCAGTTCCTAAGGAATGTAGCGGTAGCTTCAGGAGGAATAGAGACAAAAACTTTGTACTCGATTTCATTCAGTTGCAAAAAAAAAAAGAAGAAATATGCGAAGAAACTGAACGGCGTCTTCTTTAGTGCTAAAAGTATTCCACATGAACATAAATGGCCTAATACATCAGATTACTGTTATATACAACGTCTCTGCAATTTGCTTTCAGGGGAATCATTTTGGCATTTCTTCAGTTGTGGTGATCTCAAAGGTTCAGTCCGACTTGCCAATCATTTGTGTTTCAGCTGAGAGTCGGGCGAGCAATGAAGAAACGTCTGTCGAGTTCTCCCTTCAGACTCACTAGTGGCATTTTAAAGACATTTTGTTCTCCTTGATAATGACCACACACTCGCGCACAATTTCAGCCGCCCGCGGAATCAATCCAGATGTCACGGCGTCGGGTCAGCTTCCTCTAAGGCCCACCTCTCCACCGTTAATAGGAACTGTTCCGCAACATCTGTGGTCTCCATTCCTCCCCTATCTCTCTCATCCCTCTCTCTCTCTCTCTCTGTCTCTGAGCAGTAGAATAAATTGAATTAGAGCTCCACCACCCACTCGGCAGGATCCTGCAGCCCTCTGTCAGATAGCTAAACAGAAAGAGAAAGAGAGAGAGAGTTGCAGAGAGATAAACAGAGGGCAAAAATAAAAATGCCCCCTGCCCCTATAAAGAATAAAGAACAGTCTTTACAGCCTCTTTACTCCCCTGTACTGCTGCCTGATAACAGCCAACATATTTTTTTCTTTTGGAGGGTTGTGGAGGTGAAAGAGACAGTGGCAGAAATAGAGGATAAGAGAGATATTGTTATTGACTCACCTATGGAACAAGGAGTTATCTACCATTACCAAGATCGCAGTAATACCGCGGACCAGATGTGTATCCGCAAGTTCTGCACACTTTAAAAAGCTATTAATTTGGCACAGACGCCACTAAGAGCAAACTAAATCTCGAAAAAAAAACTAAGTGAAAAGCCTGGAGTGGCTTGAAAATACAATCTCTCACCTCTCCCATTTTACATTCAAAGAACTCAGACACGCAATCTGACACACAAATGCATTGCCATTCATCCCGAACCTAATGGCACAGCAAACCACTCCTTTCAGACGTAAATCGGTGGCTAAACAGCCAAAATGGACTGAAAATCACTGGTATCTCTCCCTCGCTCAGTCACCCACACTCTTTTTCTTCAGGAGCCAGGGTGCATTTGCATAATACCTCTGTGGGCTATTAGCACCAGCGTGAGCATAAATGCATTGATCGATCAATGCGAGCTACTGTACCGGTAC